CATTTATCCTATGATTACCTGTAACATCAAAATTTTTATATTATTCACAAATTTGACTAACTGTAAGTAATTAAATGTAAATTGAGTCGAAATACATGTGATGAGACCCTTAAATATGCAATATTACATGCTCATTATGAAGAGACTCATCCAGTGCTTAATTGAAAAAATGTCACTTTATGGTGACACAAGGCAAATTCCTAGATCATATAGTCTCCTCAGAGGGGATAAAAGTAGACAAGGCAAAAATAGATCTAGTAGGTAATTTACCTACGCCTAAAATAGTTAGACATCATATCATTCTTAAGACATGCGGGCTTTTATAAGAGATTCATTAAAGATTTTAGTGTCATATCTATGTATCATCTCCTAAGTCAAGATGTACATATTGTGTGAGACTTGAGTATGCATAACATTGCATTTCATAAATATGGTGGGTCAATGAGTAATTTGTTAATATTTGTGTGAAGTTAAAATTGTGGAAATTGAACTTTGAGTCGTTAGATATGCTTCCAATTAAAGAATTTTATTGTTGAATTACAATGAGATAAATAGTATGGGATTCTGTTAAAGTGTTGGGACGTTTGGGTGTTGAATGTTGGAATAAGTGAAACAAGGAGGAAGGTTAACGCTATTGGGGGCTTTAGTGTAATTAGGGGTTTGGGTGAATCATTAAGCGGACACCTGCTCTTTTATGGCAATTCCTTAGACTATATAAATATATGTATACACTTGTGTTATATATATATATATATATATATATGGGAGGGTATGAGAGGCAGTTGTTATGAGTGAGGGAGAGGGAAATGGGAGTGAGAAAGAGGGGAAGAAACATAAGGAGAAAGAGGGAGAAAGTGAGAAAGAGAAAGAATAAAGACCAAAGAAATTTAGCAAAGAGAAGAAAATTTAGAAGAATTGGAAGAGAGTAACACTTCTTGGTAAGAAATTCAGTTAATTATTTGTGTTTGGTAGTTTAAAAGCTTTGGGAAAAGAGTTGAGTTTTAGGTTGTGAATATTGGTTTTGAGGGATGATTTGGGTTTTAGGTTTGATTTTGATGTGGGTATGCTATTAGTATATATTCTCATGGGAAAACATGATTATAATTGATGGTTCGAGTTTGGGAATTGTGGTGTTGAAAGAGAAGGAAGAAGATGGAACTTAAATAGGTTTTGGTCAAACTTCAACTGGTAGGAACTGAAAATGTAAAACCTAAAAATTTTAAAATTTTATTAAAAAGGGCAAAATAGTAGTAAGTCGTTATGGTGCAGATTAAAAACTCAAATTTTCTAAAACTCGAATGATGAAATGGACCTCACCGTTGAATTCGTCTCATGATAAAATGCCTATAGTTGATTAGTGTGTTATGTGTATGGAATATGCTATAACATGCTTGATGGTGTTATGGATTGCGATTACATGCTTTATGATATAATTGATAATTGAGAAATTGGGGAATGTTGGTAGACATTGGATATGTTCATAATATGCTCATAATATTATAAACATGATATGGTAATTGCAATTGTACATTACATTTACAAATACATAGGTAACATCGCATTCTTGGACAATTGACATGAATGTGGGTGTGTGCACATGTTTTTTGATCAAACACCGTCCTTGGTGGGTTAGTATGTCGGCTCAGAAAGGTTGGATTTAGGTTCAACTGAGTCACACGGGTTTCTTTAAAAACGTGTTTTAGGTGTAGCAAAAAGGGATAGATTCTCTCTCGAGTACAAGACCCCGTTACTTGGTTCACTCACTTGCCCTGTTGTGAAATTTCAAAAAAGTGTGCAGGTATACTCAGTGCCTAGAGTGTGATGTCCTCGAATGTCATGTGGGCTGGTAGATCCTTGAATTAATGTCCATAAATTATCCACCCAAAAAGACACAAGATTTTTATAAAATGGTCATTGGATGTGTAGCATCAATGGTGAGGGTTTGGAATGCTAGGATGCATACACCCATGACATGTGTTATGGGAGCCGGTGGAGAGCTCGGGTTGCATTGCATATGTGAGTTTCATCTCATGACACTGTGGTATTCATTTATGAGTTGTATATTCTTGAATGGATGATCGATTGATGAATTGCATATGAATATTTTATTTTCACTTCGGTTGAGGAGTTGCTTCCATAGGAGATACCCTATTAAGTGTGACTCACCCTTTATGAGGACATATTTCAAGTGTTGGACAAGCGCCAGTGGATGGCCCTTACTTGTGCCCTTGTTGGTGGGGAAGTTGAAATGTGGTTTTGAATTACATTTTATAAATCAATTGTGTAATTTGTTTTCAACTTGTAAATTTGTATAAAATGGGATATGTAATGAACTCTTTTGGACAATATTTTGATGTAAATGAATGTTGTATGAGTTTGGATGGCTAAACAGTTGAAAATGGAAAGATTGGGAAAAATTGGGGTTCAGTTACTAGTGCGAAGTGACTATGTACTAGTATCATGCTGTCAAATCACCTAGATACCGGTACCTAAACCTATAGGCACCAGTACCTAGATTCTAGTATGCTCGGGTGCTGGTACCTAGACACCAGGTATCAGTACTCCGATTGACAGTGGACTCATGTATTGATACCCAGACACATAGGTACTAGTACCCAAAAAATAGTGGGCTCAGGTACCAGTGCCTGGCAAGCAGAAGGCCCATGTACCGGTACCATGTATCAGAGGTACCGATACCTTTTACCACAATCTGAAATTTTAAAATATAACACTGAAGGGCTTTCAATGCATGAACAATTCTTTTGGATGATGTAAATGGAGAATAATAAATCTTAATTGATGGGGATTGGACCTTGGAATGGTCGTATGATTATTGTATGCAAATGTTACGGATTGAGTATGGTTCACATTAGAGGAAACTCTGCCCAAAGTTTGTTTGGTTATGATCCCGATAAATGGGGTGTATCGACGTGGTAACGGATTATGCGGTACTCACGAGTATACTTTCGCGGGTTGATGGGTGATCAACGACTTTAGAAATGACGGTCGAATTTTGGGGCGTTACAACTTGGTATCAGAGCCTAGGTTCTCAATTTATCTAGGGCTTGCAGGGTATAGGTCTAAGTCATTGCATCAATTATGCATTACATGTTATGTGCATTAAATACTAAATGTTTGGGTGATATGTGATTATATGCATGATTCTTTGTATATGGAAATGAGACACTAGGGATAGAAAAGAAAGAATGGAAAAATTTACGATTTGGATGTCTACTAGTGGGTGACACACCTCCTACTAGTAAGACAAAAGGAAAAATTCTCAATGTTTTGACTTTGACCCCTACTTTAAAATTCTAAGTTAGTGCTCTATTTTTATCTTACATGTGTGTAGATGACAAATAGAGGAAGAGGACACCGAAACGGCGAGGGGGTGGGCAAAACAACAACCAATCACTATTGGCCTTTGATCAACAACCCTTCATGGAGGCTATGGGCACAATGGTTGTCAACTTTTGCAAGCCAGTGTCAATATGGGCTAAGGAGACTTGAATAACCTCTAGAGACTCAAGACACACAAACCACTAACCTTAATAGAAGGGGTGGATTTGATAGTAGCTGACCATTGGTTTCAACAAGTAGACAAAATCTTGGAGGCTATGGAGATCACATCCAACCCCACTAAGATAAGGTTAGCTGTGTTCCAGCTTGAGGGAGAGACCCATCTATGGTGGGATTGGACAAAGGCCTTAAAGAATAGAAAGACAATGACTTAGGGAGAGTCCCATGAGCAAGTACTTTTCGTCAATGTTCAGCCAGTGAAAGCCCATGAATTCTTGGATTTGAAGCAAGTGACTATGACGGTGATGAAATACGTGGCTAAGTTCACCGATTTAGCCTGATTCGTTAATGGTTACGTGGCTACAGACTTGGCCAAAGCGAGAATATTCGATAATGACTTGAAGTTGTCCATCCGAAGAAAGATTGTAGGCCACCGCCTACAAGACTTAGACTCACTGGTCAAGATGGCCATATCATTGAGAGTAAAGTGGAAGACGCAAGGAGCATCCATGAGGTCGCTAATGATAAGAAGAAGGAGAGTCAATCCTCTTCTTTTAGCTCAAGAAATAAGCAATGGACATTTACCTCACAGGGATCTCAGGGACAAGGTCGAGGCTATCAAAACCAAGGCCAAAATCAGTTTTCCCAAGAGGGAAGAACTTCAGGTGAGGTCCCAATTTTTGAAGAGCTCTCTCATGTGGGACTAAACCTTAAGGAAAAAATGCCTTCTAATTAGTTTTTCTTTGTTTTATATCATTCACCATATTATTTTCACGTGGATTTAAAATCCAAATCAATTATAATAAAATTTAAATAATTGATTATATCTTTGTGTATGAAATTTAAATGTTTAAATTGTATTTTTATTAACTTTTATACATGTAAATATTTTTGTATCTATACAATATGACACTCTCAATACGTTCCCGCTCTAAGATTTTTTTGAATTTATCCATTTTTGTGCTCTCGCTCTCACTCTCGCTTCCGCTTTCACTCGCACTTCATGTGATCTAGATAAATACACATACACATATAGATTTATGAATATATAAAAATATATATGCAGATCTATGCTTACATATGCATATATATAGTATAAATTTAATACATACATAAAACTATGCTTGATAAAGAGAGATAATGTCAGATTGAGCTTAGAGAAAGAGTCCGCGAAGCTTCGGTTATGTATTTCTTTTTGCCGAACATTGAAAGGGAGGGAGAGTAAAAGAGGAGAAAGAGGGAAAAAAAAGAGTAAATGGGTTTTTATAGTTAGTACAAAAAAGATTTTATTTTGTTGCTAATGCGTTTTTATTTTTGTTTGCAGATTTGAGATTTATTTTCAAAACAAATTAGCTGAAAAATAAATAAAAATAACCAAACCCGTTGTTATTATTAAAATAAAAATAAAAAAATAAAAAATAAAAATAAAAAAATAAAAATAAAACTGGTACCATAAGCTCCCTTTAATTCCCAATGTCTACTGAAAACCGAAGTAGCCTCGACTGTAGATTAACGCCTTCGGTTGGTGTTGGGGAGAGGAGGTTTTTGACTGCTCGGCGACTTCATTAGTCTCTCTCACTTCAATTCATCACTCCCGATTGTGGCTGCGCTGTAGTAATTTTTGCTCTATACAATTAGTTATAGTAAAGATCTGGCTCTATGTCAGTTCAACGCATGATCCGTCTCATCTCTCTCTTGTTTATCTTCTTATTGGTAATCCCTCTCTCTCTCTCTCTCTCCCCCTATATATATATATATATTTGTTTGTGTGTGATTAAAATTTTTGATTCAAAAATTTTATATTCGGTGATTATGGAACTCAATTTTCGCTTTTTGTTTGCATCAGGTTCTTTTCCCCTCTATGTATCTGTGGTGATTTTGTGGAGTTCCTCTTTTTAATCAATTAAATATCAGCCAGCAGCTGCATAAGCACATATTGCTCCTCTTACTGTTGCTTACTTGCTTTCTATGCTTCTGACTACTTATCTTTCCCTAATTCTTTTTGACATCTAACGGTCTTCCTGAGGCTAAGGTGTCAAGGCGGTCGATCATGACTTATCTAGAAATAAATAATGCCCTAGCTACAAGAATATATCCTGAAACCTCTTTTGTGGGATTCTCTTTAAGGCCTTTAAGGGATCGTGTTGAGGTTGAGGTGGGAGTTGAGTAAAAACTGGAATTTGGGGTCAAGGGAATGACTCCACTCCTCTGTCGGGGCTCGTTCATAGCCGGGCTTTGTTTGATTCAATTACAATCACGTTTTTCTGTTTGCAAGAGATTGGCAAGACTAAACATACGAGAGATTTTCCGCCAAATATGGCCAAGAAATTCTTCTGAAACAAATCCCTGCAATAAAATGGAAGAAATTCATGTTTGTCTGCTTTATATAGCATCATAGTCCTCCCCTTTGACATTGTGTGTGGATATGTGTTTATATATAGTTCCTACTATCAAGTGCTCCAAAGAAAGAAAGCATTTCTTTTCACTGTTTGAATGTCAGTTTATAGAAAGATTTTTTCCATCCATCCGTTGTACCCGCCTGTGCTGTTTATTGTAAGACTTTTTTTTTGTTGTGTCCGTGAAATGAGTCCTTAATACTGCTGATAGATATGTGGGTAGTAACATTTCTTGTCATATAATGTACACTGGGTGGAAAACATGAAAAAGTGGTTACACTGATATATGGGATAATCTTGTGTCAGACATTAGAAGGCAGGTCATATGGATCTGCCTTTGGGAATCGCAAAAGAGGGAATTCATCTTCATCAGTGTTTTCGCTGTTCAACTCTCAACAGAAGAGTAGGTTCTGGAGTGAATCTGTTATACGTGGTGGTATGTTATCCATATTTTTATGTATATTTATGATTGTTTCAGGAATGGATTTCCTATTCTAAAGTTGTAACGATATGTATTAATGTGGTTAGATTTCGATGATTTGAAACTTCCAGCCCTGGACAAATGGGTGTTATCAATTACACCAAGGCAGGTACTTATTTGCGTATGACCAATGTTTCTCTCTGATCTCTGCAGGCTTGTACTACTTTTAGTGTGTATTGCACATATACTATGATTATTCTTTAGATTTCTAAAAGAACTGTACGACAATGTATCTGTGGATTTTTTCCATCAATTTCTGCATGTAATTCAAGCTAATATTGCCTCTTGAACCAGATATTACTGCAATTCTATGATGATAATGTGTTCTCTCTTGAAACTTTTTCATGATGTTGGAGGACTAATGAATTTGCTCAGAGGTTTTTGATTTCAAGCAGGGAGGAAAGTAGGGAGGAAAGTAGGGAATATTTTCATATGCTGCAGAAATTCCATGGTTTGTTGACATTTTAGAATGGTTAATGGTACTCATGGGACTAATGGCATCTATCCTTTAGATGATGTTAAAATTAGTATATTGGGGTCTCAAAGAAACCTTAAAATAGTCATACACTACAACATATGGAAAGTATCCTATTTTTGTTCATGGCTACACAGTGTAATATGACTTTTTATTCTAAGTCTCAATTTGTTTTGACAAAAAAAGATTTAAGTTGTAAAGTTTTTTGTTGAGATTATAAAAAGTAATATTAGGGTTAGGAAGAAAGAGAGAATGAGTGAAGAGAGACAAAAGTGATGCAAATAAAGAGAGAATAAATCAGTTGTGTAGGTTGTGTTACCCTGTGGCTTACACTCTCTTATTATAATTGAGTAATATTTAGGGTAATTCACAATATTTACAATTACCAATATTTAGGGTAATTACAATACCTTACACTAATTAACTACTTAACTTATGTCATATAGAAAATAAAAACTCTAACACCTCCCCCTCAAGTTAGAGTATTAAAGATAAAAAATGCCCAGCTCAGAATATAAAAAACTACACCGAAGGCAGATTGAGTTAATAGACTTATAAAAATATCACCTAGTTGATCACGAGACTTATATATGGAGTGATGATCTCCTTTCGCATCAAGATATCTCGAATGAAATTACAATCCACCTCGATGTGTGTTGTTCAGTCTACTCATGAAAATATCAGATACTTGTAACGGAAATAGTAGTATGATTGTCAAAATGTATCTTCATTGGAGAAGACACATCAAGTCCCATATCAAGAAGTAAAAACAGATTCTGATAACATCTCACAAGCAGTATGAACCACAACATGATATATTGATATTTTCTTTTGCACTAGAACGTGTAACCGAGTTTTATTTCTTATTGCATTAAGTAACGAGATTACTATCAATAAATTTAAATAGCCTGAAGTAGATTGACTATCACCATAACTACTGCCCAGTCAGCATAAAAAAAATCAAACAATAGTTATGGATGATGATGGGCGAATAATCTTCTCCCCAGAGGC